TAATCACAATGGCACAAATATCCAACATCTGCTAGAACTCTGGCACAATTCAATTCTATGAGTGTGTCAATTATATCAAAGCCTAATTAACCGCAGAATAGGGCCAGAGTTCTAGCAGATGTTGGATATTTGTGCCATTGTGATTATTACTAAGGTCTGAATTTTCTGCTTCTACCAGTCCAATCGCACAGCTAACGCAGAGCTCTCTTTCTCTGAAACAATCGTGCTTCCTCCATATTGTCTGGCATGACGCATACATCGAATGCTTAGCGGAAGATCATAGCTCGCTTCTTTTACACTGCTGTATTGGTGTCAAACCCGACGCGACCAAAAAAAAAGCTCGGAGTCATAACGAGTATTTCATGCTCATGTGATAACTTCTGTCGTTCCACGAGTCCGTTCACACGCGAAATCTTTTTAAAAAATGTGCTATGTCACCATGACGCATGTGTGAAGTGGTTCTCAGTTGAACAGTTCATTTCCTGCCGGTATCACTAACATAAATAGAACTCGACCGGTGAACTTCCGCAGTTCTAACGATTGTTAGCTTCTAACGCAAACGTGTTAAGCACTGTACTCGCTACTCGTCACCCACCAGTTTAAAGGCAGTTCGCACGAAAGTTTGGTAGACTGCTCAAAATGGTAGCAGGGCAGGTAAGTAGTGGAAAAGTGGCCAAAAAACTAAGTGAAACGGTCAAAAACGTGCAAAAAAGCCACTCCTTCCACCCCACTCAGAAATCAGTTTCAGACGAATTTCCCATGGGTACAGTGCTAAAAAGCGGTGCGGTAGTCATGGTTGCATGCATATACTCATAATATCCATGCAGCACCACAGCCGCTTCATATCAATCCCTTTGCTTCATATTGTACTTCGCAAATGAAGCAATACGAGCATCAGGTACGGTCGTCCATTTGTGGGCGGGCGGGCGCGGTGGGCGTCCGGGTCGGTATGTTGCAGCTTGATAGGGTCTTATAAGGGTACCTTGTTGGAAGAGGCGCTACGCAGCGTTTGCCCAGGGGCACAGAATTCAGTCGTGCTGGGCGTATCAGCCCTGAATGCCTTAGATATTTGTCGCGCTAACTGCCTTTGATCATGGAAGTCATGAAAATGATTATGAAGTGTTACTAAATACACCGTATCATGTCAAAGAGTGAAGTAGTGATATCGTATCACGCTAATTATTCCTCTTATTCCTCCGTAAAAGCGGTGGTTCTGTTTTGTTGAGAAGTCCGACCTATAGCTTCTTTAGAAGTTCAAATTGACTAGGTCGAGTTCCATTTCCAAGGGATTGAAGGATACCGTGGCAATAGTATTTTGAGAAACATCTCATTTACGAAGAGACTTTCTACAGGAACCATGTAGTATCATTTCGGCTACTACTCTTTGGATCTTGCTCTTAATGATCATCATACGACTCGGAAAAATTTATTGTTTAAAACTCAGTCTCAAACTCAGTCTCGCAATTTATCTGGAACCACGTTCAATAGCATTGTCACATGACTTATTTCAATTTTATTTTCACTACAGTTGCGTTGCACCCTACATTACCACTGAACTATCAACACCCATAGTTGTCGGAGAGCAGTTCTAACCAACATATTGCAAACTTTTTTTCCCACATATCCGCTTTCTTCACTGTGAGAAATTGCTCCAACAGCTGCCATAAGCAGCTTGCAATTTTTAAGACCACCTTCTTCTCGACCTACGAACAAAACAGCAAATTACCTGAGAACTCCTTTTGAATTTTTAGCGGATACATTGACTAAAATCTATTCAACTTATCCTAAGGCTGCGTTCACGTGCGACGAGTCGTCAACGTCGACGTAACCGACGATTTCGACGACTAGTTTGCGAAGAATATATATGTATCGATCCGACGTAACGGACGAAACCGACGAAAGCGACGAAAGCGACGTAAGTGACGAAAGCGACGAAAGCGACGAAAGCG